GCAGGGAGCCTGCTTCTCCCTCTCCCACTCCCCCTGCTTGTGTTCCCTCTCTTGCTGTATCTCTCTCTGTTAAATAAATAAATAAAATCTTAAAAAAAAAAAAAAGAATACCAGGCTTATGCCGGGTGCTGGGGAAACCAAGGTAATCGGGTATAACCCGGGCCGCCGAGGGCTTCACCATCCTGTGGAGGTGACAGACAAGAACACATAATTGACACTTGGCAAGAGTCAGTGCGGGCTGGTGTAAAATGCCAGGTGTGCACTGGGACAGGGAGTCCTCCTGCCCTCCTGCCTGCAGCCATCCGAGGGCAGTGGCCTCACCGGAAAGGGATCTGACATGTGAGTGCTGCAAAATTATTTTCCAGAGCCTCTTGCAAGCATTGTCTCATCTTCATAACAACATGAGGAAGAAACGGAGGGTGTCCCTCCAAAATAACTGCCATCGTTCTATAGATGGAGTTCACAAGGGCTGCCGACGGGCGTCTGTATATTTCTGAGAGCCATGCATGCAGTGGGGAAGCGTCAGTGAAAACAGCATGTGGAGATGAATGACTCTGGTTCTTGGCCAGGGTTACTGCTGCTTTCTTGCTTCCCCACCACACCGATGGAACATTTATTTCTAGAACATTTGAAAGATGTATTCAGGATATTCTTGAAATCGCCTTTATCCATTAGGAAAGTCTTGAGCATCTGTCCCAAAGGTAGTGATAAACGGCTCTCATCTTAGCTTTTAAGTATTTTCACCGCCTCGGGAAATTTGTGGCCTTATCTCCAGTTCTTGGTGGCATCTGCTCCCACTTTACCTTCTCAGCCATTGGCCGGCACGTCGGGTGGGGCCACTGCCCTCCAGGTAGTGCCCCCCACTTCAGTCATACCCACGGGAGAGCCGGGACCAACCCCGTGTCAGACCCTATTTGGTGCCACCTCCCCAAAGAAAGACCAAAAACAGCGTTCAAGGGAAAGAAAGATACTTTTGCTTTTGTTTTTTGTGGCTGGGACATCAACCCCAGGAACATACAGTAATATGGGCCCGGCCCCCACTTTCCTGGGCCCTGAGCAGGTAGCAGAATCTGGGATGCTAACAGTGAAGGGCCAGGGCATGGAAGGTGGGCCAGGCCTCCTGCCGCCATTTCCAGAGCCTCTGATTGGATGTCAGGAGACCTGGGAGCAACTCCGGGCTGTGCCATGATTCATGAGCTGTATGACTCAGTTGATTTTTCGGGACACAGGAGATAGACTGTGATCTTGTAATTTCGTGCAATTCTCAGTCTAGGAGGCTAAGGTCAGAATATTGCTGTGCCCGGCGGGGGGTGGCTGGGGTAGCTGACACTCGGCATGTGAGAAACGAGAAGCAGCGGGCCAGCAGAGGTGCCCTTCCAGCCTGGCAGATGAGCACTTGGGATTGGCGTTCCGGCAGAATGCCCTGCTGTGTCGGACGATGCATGCTACCCCCTCAGGCCTCGTTCCCCTGCACAAAACCTGTCTGCCAAGGTGTCCGAGGGCAGGCTGATGTTCCAGGTGTCTCTGAAGCACGGGATCAGGGGTCTCCTCCAGATCTTCGAGTAGTTCCCCACTAGAGAAATAGGGCAGACTGGCTCATCTGTCTCTTGACATGTATCCGTGTCTATGACGAGGTTTCTGCGGGGAAAGGAAGCACACGTTTTAACGGGGGGAATGGAGAAGCTGGAGGCTCGACAGCGACACAGATGTGATTCCTACCTGCAGCTTCCGAGCCACCGCTCCTGCCTTTCCAGCTTCTGCACGTGACATTCCTCCCCCCCGCCCCCGCTGCTTGGCTCTCACCAGGTGCGGACCCGGGCGGACACTAACCTGTCTTGCTTTGTCCCCGGCCTAGGTGGCAGTAGGGAGCAGCCAGCCACAGCAAGCCCCAAGGCCGATGAGGGCTCGGAGGCCGTGCCCCCCAAGCCCAGGAGCGTGTTCCACATCGAGTGGTCATCCATTCGGAGGAGGAGCAAAGGTGCGTGCTGCTCCCCTTCACTCTCGGGACCTCAATTGACTCATCTCTAGAATGGGGACAGTAGCAGTACCTACTTCATAGGGCAGTAGGCAGAGCCACGCGGGCCAGGCTCATTTTTATCACACCCAACCTCTGACCACAGCCATGGCCCCGTTGTCTGGACCCTCCGGGGGGTGCAGGTGGGGGGATACTGGAGCTGGGACAGGCAGCCGACTCAGGAGGTCTCCAATTTGACTGCATATTGGAATCACCTGCATCCCATCCCTGGAGACACTAATCTAATTCATCTGGGGAGAAGCCTGGGTGGGCATAAGGATCTTCCAAAGCTCCCCATGAGATTCTAATTTTTGCCAAGCCACAAACCACCGGTCCATTTACAAGTCGAGAGGTGAAAGTTATCGCCTACGGTGGTGGTCAAGATGTCAAGGCCAAGGAAAGAGCGGGAGAACCATGGAAGGGAGGGGACTCCCACAGGCCAAGAGGGGCAGCCAAAAATGAGCAGGTGGGGAAGCCAGGGAGGAGTCAGGGGCACGGGGAGGGACGCAAGAGGAGTCCTCCTTCCTCCCCAATCAGATGCAAAAGTAACCACGTGAAGAGCCAGAGCAGAGGGGTAATCTAATTCTGCCCCTCAAGTCCCGGGGAGGGGAACCGAGTCACACAGCTGGCAAGGGACAAGGGGCAGGGGGAGGACTGGTTAGTGTCCTTTTTACAACATCACATGCTTCCCAGAAGATGTGTTCGTGACATTCTTGCTCCAGTTCATCTAAGCTTCATTGTTTCTCACCAAAAGTGGCCGACCCAAAGAAACGGGCCTGGGGGCTGTGGGAAAACACAGTGGAGGTGAAGGTGGAAAGGGCGTTGAGACATCTGGCCCAGGGGTTTGTATTTGACAGAGGCCACCAGCATGGCAAGAAGAAAGTGTGGCTTTCCTCAAAAGGTTAACAATCCCCTTCCAAACGTCCTTCGTCCCAGGGGTTGGGGGCTGGGGGTAAGGAGGCCCTTTCAGGGAGTGCAAAGGAGCCTGGGACGTGGATCAGTGGAACTGCTCAACAGCAGACCCGGGGCAGCTTCACGCACAGGAAACGGCTCCATCAGGACGCCACGCACACTGGCCTCAACATCTAGAGGAATCTTTGCTCCTACTCTTTCTTTCAAATCTTCCAAAATTAATTTTTCCTGCATAGTGTAACTTCCCAACCATACTGGTATTTGCAGCCCCTGTCCCTTCAAAAATGGACGTTTTTGTGCCATTCAGGTGCTGTTGTTGCCACTGATGCATCTTAGGTATCCTGCAAGCTCATGAATGCCGTGGGAAGAGCCAATTCAGTCTGAAAATACTGGGTGTTCAGAGCCCAGCCTGCCATCCTCAAACTTGACCACGAGAGGGAACCAAAGCACCAAGACCGAAACTTCCAAAGTTCTTTTAGGATGCATAAAACCCTACTAAAATTGGTCATCTTTAAAAATAAATGATCTGGTAATAAGAAAAATATGTTTACAGCAACGTTACAAGAGTTTTCTAGAATTACAAGATCATGCCAAAATCTGTTTCAAGGAATGACGTGGACATCACTCGTCTTAATCCAACCAGCAGTTGCAGCTAAAATACCTGAAATTCCCAGATATATGTCCAAAACAAGAGACCAGAACAGCCTGCAGTCATCCAGTTGAAGTCACAGTCAAATTCAAACCCAGACCTTACATGGCTCAGGCAGCTTAATACTTTAGGAGAAATAACGTCCAAGTTTTCCTTTCTTTGTACACTTACAAGTTTGTGCAGAGAAAGAACCCTAGATTTGGGGATCACGGCCAAGGCACTATTTCTTCATCTAAAAAATAGAGGGATTGAGCTAAATCAGAGGCTCCTCACTAAAGGTCAGTCGAGTCTCTGAACTCCCTAAATTCCTGTAAAATGTCCTGTTTACATGTGGATGTACATTTTTTACCCAAAGTGAGAGTCCAAATGGGTTCTTGACCAATAAAAATTAAAAGGTGCCTTCCAGCTGCAAGACATTGCAGTTCTGGGCTTCCTCAAGTGGAATAGGAAATATTGAATATATCAACTCAACTGCAAGAAATTTGCTGCTAACGTGCCTGGGTAGAGCTGTCCTAATTGATGATGTGCTTTCCTTCAACTCCAGTGTTTGGAAAAGGCGACCACCAGGAGAGACAAACCAAAGACCCTTCTCCCTATCAGTACCGGAAGCCTGCGGTTGAGCTGCTGGTGAGTCACAAGTGGCCCGAATCAGGCAATGTCCTGAGCCACAGAGCCTGTGGCAGATTAGGGAGCGGACGTCCAGAAAAGACACCCTCTGATATAGGCAAACTTTGCTTGAATTCATATATCCAGAAACATAATTACCTGGGATAAAAATGCCTATTTTTCATAGTCTACTTTATAAAATTTCATATTCCTTTTATTTGAATTAGTTATTATCTGTCTTCCTCTAAATCTGGCATTCAAGCATTTAGGAAACAAGCTGGTGCCAATTTTCAAACACAGAATATTTACGTGTTTAATTTTATGGACAGTTAAATTTTAAAGACGAGACATGCTGGGGGTGGGGAATAATTTCTTCTGGAAAGAGTGCGGTATAGAGGTAGTCATGGTTGAAATAAAGAGTCTAAAGATCTGTGGCTAAATATCAATTCTACTGTTTGACCTTGACCTTTGCCAGTGAGAACCCTCCATCCGTGCTGGAGCCCTCATCCCCAGGATGAGGATAAATACGGTGTCTTGTACTGCAAGGTTGTTGCCCATAGTCAATGAGGTAACACGTCAGACAAGACAAAAGGTATTTCTCAATACCAAATGAAAACGTTAACTTGGTCCCTGAGCTAGCACAAATGTGGCTTCTCAGCGTGGGAAGCGCAGGGTGTGGGAGCTCCTTGTCTTGCCCCTGGACAGGATCTGGACACCATGGAGGACAGCGCTGAGATAAAAGCGGGAGCGAACACTTCCATGGCTTCCTGGATTCAGAGTCACCTGACTGCCCACGGGAAGAGGGTCAGCAGAGCCCTCAGTTACATCACAGGGGAGATGAAGGAGTGCGGCGAGGGGCTTAAAGGTAAAGGTCCTGCGAGCGAAGCCCTTGACCCTGCCCCTAGAGTGTCACTTCCAAGCGTCCCCAGCAGGCACCATGTGCCGCAGTTCTTGGTAGATTAGACTGAGTACCGTTTCTATGGTCGCTCAGAAGGAATAGGAGTTTTGCTGTGACGGCAGACATGCAGACTCTTGGGAGGTGAATACAATACGTGTCAGCGTGCGAGCCCTCATTTCCAAACTGAGCAGCCTTGCTCTCACACATATCCCATCGGGCATTTAGGCCTGGGATTTTAGAGTCACCATTCCAAAAAAAAAAAAAAGCCCGTCCTATGGATGACTCTTGGGAGAACTATGTCTACTAGAAAGTAAGTTCTCTCTTGCAATCCTCCCAGAGCCCAGGCCATGGCTTTGACACCCTCAGTGCAGCAAGAGAATTTTCTTTTTGGATGTATCTTCTTGAAAATTCATGCTGCTCTCACAGGGGGACAGATAGCTCAGGGTACCTTATCCCCACTGCTTGAAAAACAATGTAAAGACCACAACCAGCTGGCGATGGGTCTGAAGAGTTTTCTGGACCATCAAATGCCCTCTTGGGTTCCTGGTTTATCCCCCTCTGTGGCAGGTGACAGTAGGGCCCTGCGAACCCACTTTGGACGCGGAGCTTCCCGCACCTTCCACCCACCCACCTGAGTCCCACACAGGACCGGCACACCTGAACATTGACTCGCTGCCCTGGTTCCATTTCAGACAAATCCCCAGTGTTCCAGTTCCTCGACTGGGTCCTGCGGGGCACGTCGCAGGTGATGTTTGTGAACAACCCCCTCAGCGGCATCCTCATTGTGCTTGGCCTCTTCGTCCAGAACCCCTGGTGGGCCATCTCGGGCTGCTTGGGCACTGTTGTGTCCACTTTGACAGCCCTCATCCTGAGCCAGGACAGGTAAATTCCAGGAGACCCAGGGCCCAAGCATGAAGCCAGAGGTTGCTTCCTGCAGGGACCCTATGCCACCTTCCCATCGCCTTGCTGCTGGCCTCCAAGCTCAGACACTGTTCAGACTAAGGACACTAATAACTAACAACAGTCACTCCCTCATCATTTGGTAACAGCTCCACATCGCCCAGGGGAACGTGAAGGGCTGATGTCTTCCCTTCCCATTCCCAGTGGGGCCATCTGCTGGAAGGTGTGTGCAGTCGGGCTCGGGCCCCCAGCTGAGAAAAATCTGGGTCAGAAGGGAAGCCAAGAAGGTAGTGCCCCTCCCGAGGCCCTGGGGGACCCTGCTACCCCAGCCCTCCTCCATCCCTCCAGGTCGGCCATCGCGGCAGGACTCCACGGCTACAACGGGGTGCTGGTGGGGCTGCTGATGGCCGTGTTCTCAGACAAAGGCAACTATTACTGGTGGCTTCTGCTCCCCGTCATCATGATGTCCATGTCGTGGTAAGTTTTCTCCTGAGGCTGCGGGTGCAGTCAAGGGCTGCCAACCTTTCCACCTCGGCTCCCTGTCTGTCTAAACTCAACTTCAAGGGGGCATGGACTTCGCACATCAGAAGCATCCACTGGAAATAATTATTAATGTCATACAGTGACAGACCCATGCTAGGCTATCTGTGGACAATATCTCAGTACCTACCAGCCTCCACTCTTCTTTTTGTAAGATCTAAAAGGGTTTCTGGTCCTACTCAGCCAGAGCACAGAGAAAGGAACTGAGGCCCATATATAGGTGAAGAGCCATACCACAGCATCCTATCCATTTCTAGAAACCTTCTCATCCTCCTGCTGCCCCCCACCCAGCTTTCCCCCATCCTCGGGACCCCTGACAAGCCTGGAACAACCTCCTAGTGCAGGCTGAAGGACCAGCCACTGAGCAGAGCCCTTAGAGGGTCAGGGCTCAGCTCCCCTTCCCCTCCAGAAATCAGCCATGGGGCATTCTGGGCAGGAGGCTTGGTGCTCTCAGCTGCTCAACAAACATTTGTGGAAGGAAGGAAGGAAGGACTACAATTCAGCTCCTGTCACTCCCCCACTCTCCTCATGCCTGAGCATGGAGCTGCATGACTTTTCAAGGAGTTTCTATGACTCTTTGCCTTAGGTCTTCCCCCAGAAAGCCCTCTCTCTAAAGCTGAGCCTGGGCGTCTACCCTATCACCGCACCAGGCCCAGGGAGGAGACCATGGGAAGATGTGCTCAGGGGCCAGTCAGGCTCAGAGAACATACCCAGCAGGCTGCTTTTCCTTGGGAAAGTGCTCCTGTTCAGCCTAGTATCAGGGCCTGAACTTCTTGAACAGTCTCCTGTGCTTCTGCCACAGCCCCATCCTCTCCAGTGCCCTGGGGACCATCTTCAGCAAGTGGGACCTCCCGGTCTTCACGCTGCCCTTCAACATAGCCGTGACCCTCTACCTGGCAGCCACCGGCCACTACAACCTCTTCTTCCCCACTACGCTGCTGCAGCCTGCATCCTCCACACCCAACATCACCTGGTCAGAGGTCCAAGTGCCCTTGGTAAGTGTCTGGGAAGGCAGAAGGGCAGCGTCTGTCCGAACGCCATGTTAATGTGGCATTTACTGCAGCCTCCATGGGTAATGCCTATTAACAACCGCACAGTGTGAGGCACTCGGCATGCAGTCTCTCTTTAGCCACCATCCTTTTCCTGCCTCTCCGTAAGAGCTAACAGGACCATTTTTGGTCCCACGCTGTCCTAGCACAGAGGAAGAAACTGAGGCCTGAGGTCACACACCTAATCAGTGAAGAGCGGAGTCGAGATTAGCACTCTGACCTCCTACTGCTACACCTGGGTTCTTTCCTTTTTCCTTTTGGAAAAAAATCTTTTTGATGCTTTTCTCCAGTTTTCCTCCAGCTTACACTGTATATTTTCTTCCATCAGTCTCACTGAATCACTAAAGACATACACATTACAAGACCACCTGTGGGCTAACGAAGTCTCTTGTTGCAACCTCCAGAATGGGTTGCATTCGCTCTCTGAGGCATGGTCACACCATAAAGCACAGGTGTTCCTCCGTTAAGAAATGTCTAGATATTAGAGCTTTTAACATTTTTTTGCAAGTATTTTGTGTATAACGCTGGCCTCTGGAAGTCTGCCAAGATAATTAATAAGACACATTTTAGCTGAGGTTCTCCTGCTTTCCATTACACTAGACTACTCTCCATGGTCTGGGGCTCGCTCTGGAACTTTGCTATTGACAAGTCATCATCTAACCACGAAACCACTTGGGCTTGTTGAAAGAACTTTCAGAAATAACAATGACTCATTTCTTGTAACATTTCATAGAATACGACGGCATGGTAGAAAGGCCCTGCATTTGCACTAAGAAACATTATTTAGGATGAGAAATAATAATAATAATAATACATTATTTAGGAAGAGAAATATTCATGTTGGCCTCATCCTTGTGTGTGTGTGCGTGTGTGTGTGTGTGTGAGGACCTTTGTGAACCAGATGTGAGAAGAGGTTGGTAACTCACTCCTTAGGCTTCCCTTTCATGGTATGTACCCCACCAATCAGTTTTGAAGGCACAGTTGCTCTAACCGGCTGGCTATGGGGAGATGGTGTTAGAAAGGGCAAGTTGAAGATATTATGCATTCTCCATGCCACATTTTCATTGGAAAAGATACCTAGGAATTTTGTAGAAATGAAAAACAATTAGGGAATCCCGTACAAATACTTTAGAACCCCAAAGTTCCAGAAAAGAAAAATTCAGTTTTTGGTGGTTGCCTTTTAAGAAGTAACTCTAGCCAGTTAAATGGATTATGATAATGACTAATATGTTTTGTCTTTTTGACCACTCATGAGAGCCTTGAGTGTTGGGGAAACAAGTAAATGTCAGAAGGAGGGTCTAAAACTCCCAACAGTGTTGAAGCCCCATGGGTTCCTCTGCCCTCTGGTCCCCGGAGGGCCCCCTAGATGGAGTCACCAGCTGGGACTACACTGCCCAGGACCACTGCCTCTGTGTCGAGCTCTCCCACCCGCCCGCCCGCACCCACATGGTAATGCCAGAGCCCCCACCCTGTTCCCTGTTCCTGGGGTCACAGGAGATTGAGTCTGAAGCGTTAGCCCACTAAGCCACCCCACGGGCTCCTGCAATGTCTTCCTGTCTCCGCATACCTCCAGGGGCAGAGTCTTCTCGGAAGGCAATGGGTTGAGAGAAGAGCTGCTTCCTTGTAATATATAGATACCCTGGCCCAGGACTCTGCTTCTTCTCAGCTCACTGCCCAAGGGGTGAGACGAACCCCAGTATACCCTGCATGGCCACTCCCTTATGCACTTTCCTAACTCAAGGGCCTTTGGCCAACCTTCCAAACCATGGGACCAACCCCAGTCGCTGGGGAAGGCTGCATGCCCAGGATGCTTCTCTTGAACTCCAGAGCACGTGTGCAAGCGCCCACAGGCAGTGGATCCTGCCTCCTCAAGCCCTTCACATTGGCAGACAGGCCCCGCTTCCCTGAGCTACGTGGAGGCCTGACGCAAGCTGGGTGCTCATCTGTCGGTCACCATTTCATTGGCTTATCAACCAAAAGAGCAGAGACCATACTACCTCCTCGGAGACTCTTCTGTGAGTCCAACTGCTCACCCAGACCAGACTAACATGACCACAGCCCAGACACTTTACTCTTGGAAACACGAAAGACCATTTTTTCATAGCATATTCAGGCTTCTAGTCATAATTTTAGGGTTTTTTTTTTTAAAAGTTACAAGAGAGTTTTTAAACCCCAACCTTGATCAGACATCTCCTCATTTTAAGTTTCTAGTTTCTCTTCAGTGGGGGTTCAGTGCCTTACACTCACGTTTCTAAATAAAGGAAACTTAACATCTTAAACTATTGTTCTAAGAACTCAAGATTAAAACAGAAAAGCTTGTGTTCCTTTCAGAGTTCATCTATTTGGATACAAATATCTTGGAAACCTGCTGCAGAATGTTAGGGTAGAGACTTTGGCACAAATCTTTTCCAGCCAAGGTTCCAGTTGTCTCTGGTCTCCCTCTGTAACTGCACGTGATCCTTTGCCCCCACAGCTTCTGAGAGCCATCCCCGTAGGAATTGGCCAGGTCTACGGCTGTGACAACCCCTGGACTGGAGGCATTTTCCTCATAGCTCTGTTCATCTCGTCCCCTCTCATTTGCTTGCACGCTGCGATCGGCTCCACTGTGGGGATGTTAGCAGGTTAGTCTCATCACTTCTCCCTTACTAATGGGCCATAAGGATGTTAGTGTCTGGAGTCAGCTCCAAAGAAAATGGTGACACGTGTCTTCAATACCTGTGGCCCCCCGACCCCTGCTGATGCCCGTCCACTTTCGCTCCTTCCATTATACCCTGTTTCCCCACTTCGGGTGCCAGTGCCCTCATGCTTCTGTGAGCAAAAGCTGCCCTCCAGAAAGGCTTTGGTGTTAGTCATTTACACCTTAGTATAAATTTAAAGTTTGAGAGAGGTTAATTACAGGCATGTTTGTGTTTTACGTCTTATCTCGAGAGATGATACTCCAGTAGAGAACATTAAGATATCAATGAAGAAGGAAAAGTCCTCTTTCTTGGCAGGGGAGGGAAGTTCTCTGGACTGCTTCAAAAGGCTGCAGAGTCCTTACCCCAAAAGCTCTCTTCTACCATAACAGCTACACCACTAGCACTCATGTGGCTCTATGGCCATTTCTTCCCTTTAGTTATTTTTTTCACTGAATAAGATCAGAAGTTCTTTTTTATAAATGCCTAAGAGAATGGCTGGTCTGGGCTTTGAGCACTATGGTGGTTTTGGGGGCCGGCAGGAGAGCCCCACGAGACCGCCCCCGCCAAACTCAACGCCGATGCCTGTCTTCTCTCGTAGCCCTCACTATCGCGACGCCCTTGGACTCCATCTACTTCGGCCTGGGCGGCTTCAACAGCACGCTGGCCTGCATCGCCATAGGGGGCATGTTCTACGTCCTGACCTGGCAGACGCACGTCCTGGCCGTCGCCTGCGGTAAGGACCGCCACCACGTCCCTTTGCCCCTTGCACGCCCCCGTGCCTGTCCCTGTAGGGAAAACCGCACTGAAAACCCTGTGGATCCTCCACAGATAAATGGGAGGATTGTTTGCTTCGTAAAAGGCTTTTTATCTAAAACTGTTTTTGAATGGTTGCTTAATGATTCATGCGGTAAAAATTATTTTCATGGAACACAAAGAGCTCAGCCACATGAAGACAGAATTTTGAGCTGGTGGTTGTTTGGTTGTTGTTCCTGGGCTGTCTCTGTGATTGCCACTCTCCTGGCTGGTGATTGAAGCCAACCGACAGAGCAACTCTTCCACGAATTAATCTTTATATATAGAATTGGGTGATTTACATCAGTTACAGCAATTAACCTTAAGCACCCAAACACTAATCATAGGACCTTCAAATAATGCTTACGTTGTAGAAATGCTGAAGGGTGTGGGTACTCAGTGACTCTCTAATAAAGATTTGCTGTTGTTAATATCCTAGGGACAATTAGGATGCTTTCAGTTGAGAAACAGGATTCAAAAGCAAAGCCCGATTCCACTGGCTCATTTTCACAGAGCCTCCTCACCTCTTACTGGCACTTGGCTCTTCCCAGTGGCCCAGTCTGGCCATCCCTCTGCAGGCAGAGCTGGAAGACGAGGCAGTGGGCCTATGTGGTCTTCCTCAAGCTTACAGGTTGCTGCTCCTCACTGGAAACCCATATTCTGTTAATAACTTGGGATGAAATATTCCAGCAGGGAGTCCTGGGATCCACTTGGCCTTGGCCATATAGTAAAATTTTCATGTATGGTTTATGCTGCTAAGTGTTCCTTTGCTAGAATGCAAAGTGGTGGGACCCAAGAGAACCATAACGGCTCCATTCTGGCCCTTTTTAACAAAGTTCATCTTCCGCCTTAGCTGTGCTGGCATTTGCCTGGAATTTAACACATTTCAAAGCTGTCAAGTAATAGAAACATAACTCAAGTTTTATTTAATTGGCCAGATAGCATTTGTGGCCTAAATATCTGGGGGGATAACGTGCAGGCTGAGCTTGAGGCACCAGTACTCACTGGACTGTGTCTTGGTTCTCTTTGCAGCCCTGTTCGCGGCCTACCTGGGCGCCGCCCTGGCTAACGTGCTCTCCGTGGTGAGTCTAAGAACGTGCCACAACTCCCTTCCTGCTGTTCCTTCCGCTCCCCGAAGCCAGTGCAAACCTCTCCCCTGGGAACCCTTCCCCAATTCTTCCCTCTCATCTCAAATCACACTGCCTGCCTTGGCACCTGCCAGACAGAAAGAGCTGGGTCTCAAAAGTTTCAGTGTCAACTGTTGGCCCAATCAGATCCCATTAGCCTTGGGCCCATGGAGCTTCTTACAAAAGGACAATTTGATGAGCATTATCTTGTAAATTGAATTCTGTCACCTCATCCTCTAGATTCCGTTTTAAATCTTTATTATCTAATGTGTGTGTGTGTAGAGAGCAACTGCCCAACTAGTTTATGGGCCAGTGTACATCTTTGTTCATCCCTTGGCAACTCGGTGCTGAGGGGGTCGTGAGGGAAGCCTTCAGGGAAGACAGGGAACCGAGCTGCAGCCATGCCTGAGAGAAGGCTGAGCTGGTGGCTATGAGCACATGCAGCCATCCAAGAACCCCGTCTTTGTCTGAGCACTGGTGGGAGGAGGTGTCGGAGTCAGGAGGAGCCGCGTGGCCAGCCCCAGCAGAGGGTTAGGGCACATGGCCCAGCACAGAGGGCTAGGGGCTCAGCCCACAGTCAATGCCTCCCCCTTTTGGATAAGGTTTCAAGGGCCCATTTTATAAAAGCATCCAGGAAAAGTCCCAGTGGTCCTGAAAATGGGGATGAAGGTGGGCATTCTACCCACACCTGCCTAAATCCCTTCTTCACCCTTAGTGAAATTGGGCAGGTTGAACTTAGCTTAGGAAAGAATTTTCTAGGCAAGAGAATTGGCCTTCCCTGATATCATCCCATGTCCCCCAGTGGACTAATCTCCCCCTGGGCCCCAGCAAACTGTGTACGTTCCTCTGCTGCAACACTTGGAGTACGGTAGTGACGAGCCTCGTACACATTCTTCCTCGAACACCTTCAGCCCATGTGCTCCTTCAGAACCAGGGCCCGGTCATATTCTAATCTTTATCTCTAGTTCCTATTGCAGTACCCAGCACATAACAGGTGCTCAAGAAATGCTGAATGACTGAAACTCTAGGGGAGCAAGCCGCCACCATGGGGGGTATAAGAGCTGGGGCTGAAGCGTCAGCCATCAGAAACACGGACGGGTAGCAAGAGCATGGAGTATGGGCTCTGTGGCTCCTTGTGCTCCGGGCTTTCACATCCTGCGTGTACCCATCCTTACAGCTGACTGTCCAGGCAGTGACTGGGTGTCACGTGCTTTCCTTGGGCAAGGACTAGAAGAGATGCCAAACAGGATCCCAGGCACTTACAGGATGATTGACCCTTTCTTCTGTGTACAGAGAAGTTAGAGGTTATACCACTCAATTTAGGCTTTTTTTTCTTTCCTAAATCAAGGTTATTTTCTGTGTGCCTATGATGTTTAAGACACTGTGCTGATCACTCTCAAGGATATGAAAAAGTGCAGGCTATTTACTCACTCTGAAGGAATTTCTAATATCCTTGAGGCACAGGATACAAAAATGTCGAGTGACATTTATGAGCCCCTTCAAGCCCTCCACAGACGAGAGCACTTAGGAGCTGTGTTCCTCTGCTTTCTCACCGGCATGCGTATCACGGCCCGTGTCTTCCACAGTGCCACCCTCTACTCCATGGTCATGACCACGTGCTGAGGGCTATTTATGGGGTCCTTAGTACGCATGAGGCCCCAACTCTCTGAGTAAACACTGTTATCCCTACTTAACTCCTGAGGAAATAGGTCTCAGACGATTGAAATGCCTTTAACAAGGTGGTTGGAGCTGAGATGTGGATCTGGGCCCGTGGGACTCTAGACCGACGTCCTTTCCCACTGTGGGACTCCAGGGGGTGCTTCCCAAAACACACTGTGTAGTGTGAGCAGGGCTTTGGGGAGACTCACTGGGTGGAATTCATTATGCTTGAGTATCTTATGGCCATGGTTCTGGCTGCCATTGTTCTTCCCCAAGTCCCATCCAGCAGCACCATCTTTGAACACACACATTACGGGCACATGGTATTACCTGAGGTCTTTACTGCTTATAATGAAATGAGGTTGGAGGTGAGGAGGACATGATTTGGTCTGCCTCATAGTTGAGTCTGAAGGCTCCTTGTCAGCAAGCTCTCCACTCAAGTGGTCTCAAGTAAGAGTGGGGAGGCATATCAAAAAGGCTCAGGGCATCTTAAGGAATAAAAAACAGGTCAACACCATGAGAAGGGGAGCTGGGAATGGGAGAGCCCTTAAGAAGAGAAGTCGCTGCCCTCCACTTCCAGGCCCTGGGACAAGGACAGCATGTCTCTGCCTCTCTCCAAATGTCTGTTCTATCTCCCTGTGTCTCTCTGCAGTGCACACAGTCCCCCAGCGGCCACTCAGCACTGCTTGGCTCTCCAGTCCTTTCAGACCAAGAGCTCAGTCTCTCTTAGTTCAAACTCTCAAAAGAGGGATCCAATTCCCAGGCCATCTGCCTGTGGAAGTTGCATTTGAGTCAAGCGCCTTGCTCTGGTCCAGTCGGCTGTGACCAGAGAAATATCGTGAACTACAAAATGGCTGCCAAATCTGCTCCTTCAACAGGGGCTATGGGAGAAGGCAGACAATGGTCATAGGTCCTAGAGTTGGAGGTATAGCCTGGCCAGACAGCCTAAGACAAAACAGGATTTCTACATAAAGCCATATTGTAATAGGGTTTCAATGGCTGCATTATGAAGAATGTGTGTCCACCTGTTGCAATGCAGGCAGAGAGCACTGACAGGATTACACTGGCCAAGAATTAAGTATTATTCCTATCATTGCCCATGAAGCATCCTGTCCTCTACCCAGGGCTGTATAGGGTTGGTAAAGGCTAATGAAACAAACACAGGCATGTGATATAACCAAGGCTTCTCTTGTGTCTTCCCCTTGCCCCTTGCTCAGTTTGGACTGCCACCATGCACCTGGCCCTTCTGCCTCTCGGCGCTCACCTTCCTGCTCCTAACAACCAACAACCCCGCCATCTATAAGCTTCCGCTCAGCAAAGTCACCTACCCAGAGGCCAACCGCATCTACTACTTATCCCAGGAGAAAAACAGAAGAGCATCAACCATAACAAAGTACCAGGCCTATGATGTCTCCTAGACTGCCTTTTCCAAAACATGTCACTGTACATTCAGCCTTCAGCAGGTTGTCCAGGTCTCCAGGCTGAAGACCATGCAACCTCCCTTTCTGTCTGTTCTGCGATTTTCCCCTTAAGCAAGCCTACACCCTAGTTATTCCCCCACATAAGGACAAACGTGTGTAGTCACCATTTAGGGACCTCTCATTTCTAAGATGTACAACACTTATCAAAGATACAGTTAGTTTAGACTTCATACCCATAGCTCACTCCAGAAGAGCTCCCTTTGAGGTGATTTGCCCTCCTCTGCAAAATAAGTCACATCCCTAAAAAGAACTCATCAAGAAGGAGACAGAGATTGGTAGCATGGGCCTCCAACTCAGGCATGTCATGGAGCCGTGCACAGTACCAGGGAACATGCATCAACCTGGAGGGTGATGGGATGGTTCTGCCCCAGCCCTGCCTCTAGTGAGCTCCTGCCATCTTGAGTGAGCACATCCCTGCTCTCAGCCTTGACTTCCTAGTTTCATGACAGGGAGGGACTCTACAGTTCTCCCACATCAGAAGTGTTGATTCTTCTCTCTCTCTCCCATAAACTGATGAAATCAGCATGACCATCAAGTAATTACTTTGAGTAAATAATAGATGGAGGGCTTCCCTGGAGAAGAGGCAGGAAAACGTTAATATTCTGAGATTTGTTCTTGAGTCACAAGCAGATACTCTCCAGACTTGGTGTTAGGAAACTAAAGTCACTGGAAATGCCAACATGCCTTCCTTTACAAAATAGAAATATTTCTGGAAATGTCATAAGATGAAAACTGATCTTTTTCAACATTCAAATCATGTTTTAAACCAATGTATTTTCTTTGATAGTATTCATAAGCATTCTCTTATTAAATGGTTAAGTTCACAAGATGGTATCAGGGTCTTCTTAAAATGTGGTTCACCTACCCTGTTCACACATTGCCCATTTGAGGGGTTTTTCATGGTCAAGCCAGTGTCTGACTGAGGTGAGGATGGGTTACAAATCATCAGAAGAAGGTCTGATTCACTTACAAAGAGAATTATATAGAAATGACCACGGTCATTGTTTTTTGAGTAGAAGCACGGGTTATTAACAACACACCTTACTTTTTAGGGCATAGTCTTTTAGTCTTGCATCCCCAAATTACAAACCCAGCCCCTCTTGAATGGCCAGTAACTCTTGTTATTTAGTTACTCTGGTTACAGCATAGAGCTCCTAACCCGCAGGACCCCTCTGTGGGAAGCCACGTGGCTCAGCCCTCCCACCCTTCCTCCACAGGACAGGGATAAACCTTCCCCAGCACCTCAGGGGACACCCCCCATCTTACACTCCCAATTCAGTGTGATGGGGTGAGGATATAAGATGGGGGAAGAAGGCAAGGGACGGAAGACACACCCTCTATAAATGCAGCTTTAAGGAAATAATTACATTTGACCAAAATCCATCATTTGGAAAAAGCTGGTGTCTATATTTATGTTTTCTTTCCTTGTCTGCCCTGAGATCCCAGCCATCTCCGCCAGCCCAAGAGCCCTGGGCTGCCTATTTCTCTACCACATCATATCCAGCCATTATGACTTCTCCAGGAAATTGGAACACTTCCTGCTGGAGGAAAATCCCCCACATGGGAAAGGGGAATGCGTCACATTCCAGAGGCTACCTCTGAGTTTGTGATCACACCTTGAGGCCAGGAAGGTCTCAGGCTATATTTTAATGACGATGGAGTTGTGGCTCTCTGAAGATCAGGCATCCAGGAATTTCCCCAGATGGCTGCTTCTGTTCACAGCTCACTCAGCTGCCCCAGAACTCTTAAGTGATGACATCGAACCATTAAAATAGCACTTTTCTGTGTGTTTTCCACCAAAGTGTTATAATCTGGGTTTATGAAGAGCAGGAAACCCTCCACACGCATACCATTCTGCTTAGTGACCACTAACAAATCCCTTCAGCTGTTCTAAGGATTTCAATATCCTCATCTATAAAGCAAATTGAGTTGGCCCAGGATATCAAGCAAGGTGGGAATAGATGGGATAAAAGAATTCAACCCAAGAAAATGTATGAAGGCCGCAGGATTTCAAGTCTATGTCAGCACCTCAATTAGGCGCCAACAGAGGAGAGAGGAAGCCAGCTCCCACCAGTTCCCAAGAGTTGGCTGTGCGAGTGAGTGCATCTCTCCCGTCACACCTACAGCTTGAAATCAGCTGCAGGGGTAGTGTTTCCACCACAGAAATCAACAAACTACAAATCTGGGCTTTTTCCCCCAGACAGCCGGCTTACCAGCACACCACTGCCAAGCCAGTGTGGTGGGAAGAAGAGAACTGTTGTAGGGCTCCAGACCGGAGGCTCAGAAACTAGGTACTCTAAGTACTTGATCCAGCAATGCCATGTAGATGCCATTCCACGTACAGGAGGCATCTTCAAGGACAGCAAACATGTTCTCAGGCATTAAAAAAAACTCAGAAGATTTACCCACGGAGTCCGACACTGAAAACACACCAGATGGAAGCATCCAAATAGAATAAATCCAGGAAATGTTGCAAGGGACACAAGGAGTGCAGGGAGATTGAACACTGGTAATGTTTGTCGTTCATTAGGACCAAAGAGGGGAGAAATAGAAGGAAAGTACCTGTAACAACCTAAAGTGGAATATTACATGATGGGGGTGGGGAGAGGAATACAAAAGAGGCAAGAAGAGCCTGTTAGAGTACTTGGCTTGTAGAAAAACTGGTAAGTTTAAAAAGTCCACAAGGAGGAAGAAAAGGGTGATAAAAGCAATCACCATGAGAACAAAATTAGAATTCAAATTTTGAAACGAGAAGAAAATTCCATCTTTCCAATTAAAAACAGCAAAGGAGGGGGGGAAACATCCTCCCCCCCCCAAAAAAGATAGTAAGTACAAAAAAATAAACAGAAGGTAGAAACTGGTCATAATATAACAGTAATTGACTGAAAAAAATGTTAACTATTAAATTTGCCACTGGAAGACAGAGACCCTCAGGTTGCACTTTTGAAAAAAGACTACACAATTTGCTGTTCACAAGAAAAGCATTTAGAAAGACATAAATGTTTAAATACCAAAAAAAATGTGATAAGATAAATAAATAAATACGGACCAAAAGAAAGTTTAAGGCCTTGAAAAGTGAAATTTAATGGGCATCTGGGTGGCTCAGTCAGTGAAGCGTCTGCCTTTGGCTCAGGTCATGATCCCAGGGTCCTGTGATGGAGTCCCACATGGAGATCCCCGCTCAGCGAGGAGTCTGCTTCTCGCTCTCCCTCTGCCCCTCCCCTCTGCTCATGCTCGCTTATGCTCTCTCTCTCTCTCAAAATAAATAAATAAAACCTTCTTAAAAGTTTTAAAAAGAAGAAAAGTGAAATTTAAGGCAAAAAAAAGGTTAAAAAACAAAGAATGATCTATGTCATTAATCATCAGGAAAATGCAAATCAAAACCACAATGAGATATCATTTCACCTGTCAGAATGGCTAGTATCAAAGCCAAGAAACAACAAGTGTTGGCAAGGACCTGGGGAAAAGGGTACCCTCGTGCCCTACTGGTGGGAGTGCAAACTGGTGCAGCCACTGTGGAAAACAGTGTGGAGGTTCCTCAAAAAATGAAAACTAGAACTACCTTATGACCCAGCAATCCCACTTCTGGGTATTTATCCAAAGAATACAAAAGCACTAATTCAAAAAGATATCTGCGCCCCTGTGTTCATTTCAGCATTATTTACAAAGCTGAGACATAGAAACAACCTAAGTGTCTATTGATAGATGAATGAATAATGAAAATGTGGAATAAATATACAACAGGGTCATTTGTGACAACATGGATGGACCTCAAGGGCATTCTGCTAAGTGAAATAAGTCAGACTGAGAAAGACAAATACCATATGTTCTTACTTATATGTGGAATCCAAAAATAAATAAATGATTTAAAAAAAAAGCAAGTCCATAGAGACAGAGAACAAACTGGTGTTTGCCAGAGGTGAGAGGTGGAGGGTGGGAGAAATGAGTGAACTGTTTTTGTTTTTGTGTAGTTTAAATACATTTTTTAAAAAGAACAAAGAATGATGTAAAAGGAACATAGGACAAGAGTACATAATTATCACAAACACATATACTACATAAACAACCTCGAATGCATCAAGCAACAGTTGGCTGAACTTCGGGAGAAATAAACAAATCAGTAATTGTAGCTTTTACCAAAACCTCAGAAACTGATATATCAAGAGAACAAAAAGTGAACAGAGAGATATCAGAGATACAAACAATAGAATTAGTAAGTGTGAGCTATTATTTACACACAAGATTCTAAACCCTCCCACTCAACATCCCCCATCCTAAAAAACCAAGCAGGGAAAACACATTTTTCTCAAGCATCCCTAGAATATCAACAACATAGACCATGTTTCATCACACCATAAAGCACAAAAAGCATAAATCACAAAATGCTGGTGGGACATTGGCGGGGGCAGCCACTTGGGGAGCAGGTCCTCAGTATTCAGTCATGTTAAGTAGACACACCCTCTGTGACCTAGAAATTCCCCTCCCAAGTGTGTCCGGTGCTCAGGGAAAGTATGCCCTGCTTCCACGGTGGGCCGCCAGGAAGGCTGTTTGTCCCAGCGTTCACCGTAGTGGGAGATCTGGAGAAGGCGGAGGCAAAGCGGAGTGGGGCGCGCCGTGCAGCCCCCGCAGCCGGTAGTTGCCCAGGACCACAGAGCAATGTGGATAGATCTTAACCTAGTGCTGGACTAAAAATCAGAACGTGACATTTATGATCAATATCATTTGCATTAATTAAAAATGCATGCACGTCAAACAACAATGCACGGTTTGCAATTACTCCTACAAACAAAAGAGAGAAAAGGCAGTGGAGTATAAAAAGGAAAAGACATGCACACTTTGATATTCAAGAGAGGCGCCCTTCCTGGGCCGATGAAGATCACAAGCAAAGAGTAAGCACACGGGTAACTCAGCTCTGCCAAAAAAAAAAAAAAAAATCTTAACTGGGTGGGGCTTAGAGTGTGCTCTCCTCCGCCCATCAGAGCCTCTGGCGGGCAGTGTCCCAGCAGCCCCAGACTCGGGGCACGGTCAATCCTCAAAGCCCCCTAGTGCTCCATGCTGCCTGCACCAACATTTGGAAACATTCTGGCCAGGCTATAACATTTAAAATATGTATTTTATATATTAAATATAATTTTATATATTAAAATAATTCTGTGCTTTGCCTCCAAATTAGATGACCATTGTAATCCCAAGAGTAACAACAGTAATGAGCTTGTTATGTATTTCCGCTTTTCAAATGTTTTAGAATCTCAGATAAAATGTGGAAAGAAAGGGAAATTTTGTTGTAGAGAATGAAAGCAGTGGAGTTGAGATTATCAGCTGGGTTCACAAAGAGTGGGGAGCTCAGAGATAATAAATTCACCTCCCACAGTCATCAAACCTAACTGACGTGTCCACCAGGTTGGGTGTGGAAAGGTCCCAGCTCTGAAGTCAAGCAGAGCCGGTTTTGAACGCAGCCCTTCTCTGTTCCTTACTGGCTGGGGGTTAATCTCTAGCCTGCAGCGCATCATCTATAAATGAGGATGATGCCCGCCTAAGCGCAGTGTTGATGTAGCGCTAAGAACCCCTGATATGTAACGGGTCCACACCAGGAGTCATCCATGTGTGGTGCTGGGGGGAGGGAGGGTCTCACACTCTTACCCCCAGTTCCCAGGCAATCCCAGTGACCAGAAATGCCCAGGAAAGCCTGGACATCATCTTGTAGGTTTCCTTTAAAATGTGGGTGTTCAGGCCAGAGGGGCCAGATCAGAACCTCTTCTTAGCTTTAAGATGCTAAGGAAAAGACTGGCTGGACACTGGACATA